TAATTTTAAGTTAAAATATGATTGCAGATGCTGAGAAGTACATACTGTGTAATGTGTATAATGTCCTCTACACTTTTTTAGGTCTGAGCAGTTTCAAATATGTTCTTGACTAGATGGCAAAAGAGATTATTCTTAAAAAAGTTGAATCGTTGGTCGATTAGCCTCAGCAGTTGTGATTGTATCCGTTCTCATTCTACTATAAATCATGAGTCTGTTCTTCCGACCCAAGCACAAGTTGTGATATGTGGTACAGGGGTTGTGGCCAATTCTCTGGCCTATCATTTAGTGGAAAATGGTTGGTCAGATATTGTACTCATTGACCAGGGAAAGTATGTATTTTTATTGARCGCCAAATTAAATATTTTGTAAACCAATGTYTACTTAGGCCATGTGGAGGGACATCACATTTTGGTTCTGGAACTTTGGGCTTATTCAAACCGATTGCTGAACGCAATATAATTATGTACAGTATTAAGTTATACAGGCAGTTAGAAGCTAAGGGGTATGATATTGGTATGTTTTTGTCAAATAAAAGTGTTGCCTGTTTTTCTTATAATATTGAAATTTAATTTGCATTCAGGTTTAAAACAATGTGGTAGTTTAAATTTAGCACAAACTAAAGACAGAATGATAGCACTAAAAAGGAGGATTGCATATAGTTCGCCTACTGGATTGCACTGCGAGGTATAATATAAGTTTTAGTTTTATTTTTTAAAATACCGCCTCTTATACCCAAAAATTTATAATTTTAATAGATGCTGGGAAAAAATGAACTGAAAAGATTACATCCATTTTTAAATACTGATGATTTAGAAGGTGGAGTATGGGTCCCTGAAGATGGAGTGGCAGACCCTCAAGCTATATGCAAATCATTAGCTAAATTAGCTTCTGAAGGTGGGGCTCATTATGTTACTAACTGTCATATTCAGAAAGTTGTAACTGAAGAAGATCGAATTAAGGGTGTTGATACTAGTCGAGGGTTTATCTATTGTGAATATTTTGTGAACTGYGCTGGAATGGTAAGATTACTTTTTTAATTTTATGTTTTGCAATATCTAAGGTTAATGATAAAYTATTTATTTTAGTGGGCAAGAGAAGTAGGAAATTTATGTTCTCCTAAGGTTAGAGTGCCTGTATACCCAGCTGAACACTTTTACGTTACAACTAGTCCGTTGCCTGGAATAGGTGTCGATTTACCATGTATTAGAGATTTTGATTCTCATATTTATGCCAGAGAATATAATTCTGGATTCCTAGTTGGCGGATTTGAAAAAACTGCTAAGCCTGCTTTTCTTAATATGAAGTTAATACCACCTGATTGGAAAAAAGATATGCCTTTAGATTGGAACCATTTTAGTAAGTTGACTATAAAATGGAGAATGTAACATAATTTAAATTAAATTTGTTTTAGTGCCATATTGGGAAAAAGCAATATCTCGAATTCCAATTCTTAAAGATGCTGTTTATCCAACGTTGGCAAACTCTCCAGATACATTTACACCAAATGGAAAATGGATTTTGGGAGAAACACCAGAAGTAAATTATTTTATAATGTTTAATTAAATTCTTTATAAATT